AATAAATTATATTCCATGAGCATATGTACTTCTGACATATCAGGACACAGTGAGATTTACCATTTGCTTGGAAAAAGTGTGGTGGCCTCAAAAAGAAGCTCCTTCTTGGCAAATTTCTGATGCCTGGTGGCACTGGTAAATAGCACCCTTAGCCTTCCTTGAAAAGTAGTCATGGACCCATAGCCAATGTGAGAAGTAAATAAAGTTTGCTTTTTTCTGCTTTTTTATTATCATTATTTGTGGTAGAGTTTTAAATTATATGTACCAATACAATAGAATAGGCCTTTTACATTTTGTAATATTACCGTGCTGTGTGTGCTGAGGACATTATTGTAATTTATTCTTTCATTATTAGGGTAGCTATTGGAATTATTGGAATGGATGTATTTACAGTCAACTGTAAACCCGTAGTGCTGAGGGGTGGGGCTAGAAATGAACCAACCCCATAGATGAGTATCTCCTGGCACCAGGGATACTGTCCCTCAAAACACTGTTTGGAAAAAGATCCCGGGTTTCTAAATCTCTTGGTACCATATGGAAAACATGCTGGCTTGTGATTGTGCTTTATGTAAACATTTTAATATAGGATCCCTAAAATCCAGAGGCTCCCCGAAGGGGATTAAAGCTAATCTCCTTTCTCTATTGCTGCAGTGGATTAACTGTGCGCTCTCTGGCTGCTCTGCTCCCCGGAGGCTACAACAAAAAGGCCCTGTGCTCCTCCAACAATCTTCGGAATTGGGAGTTGTAATTGGAGATTTTCGGGAGGTTGGAGGGTTCTAAGGTTGAATATTTCGTGATGTGTATTTCTTAAAGAAATCCTTTTATAAACTCCCAGAAAATCTCAACTCAATAGAAAGAAATTGGAGTACAATCAAAAGGAAGCTCCGTCCTGTTTTAGAAATGTGTGCCCGGCTAAAAGCTCCCGAGCTCTGCGTAAAATTCGTGCTGTGTTTCAGTAAATCAGAGTATAGCCTGGTTAACTTCTCTCATGATCTTTTTAATTTTTTCAGTTTTCCCAATTTATTGTTTGGATATGTTAAATTACTTTTTAGGAGAAGGAAGCAGCTCGCCATTTTTAATGTTTTTGGCCATTGTTTTTCTCCAAATGTCAGACTTCTGAAAACCTAAAGCGTGCTCGTCGGTGTTTAGAATGAACTTTCCTAGGTTGTTTTGTTGTTGTTTGTCTTTTTGTCAAGCCCAAGTTGTTTAAGACACTTTTCAGATGTGAATACAACGAACATTTCGGAGAGGAAACGAGGAAACCCGCGCTCGGTGCAGCGCTGCGGCGGCGCAAGGGTTAAGGGAGCGGTTCGAACCCGCGGGCGGGCGCGGGGGATCTGAGGAGGGCCCCGGGGGCTGGAGGCGCCGGCTAGCGCGGACCCTCCAATAAACACAAAGGAGGGCCTGGGGAATAGAAACCCAAATCCACTTGTAATCGTACAAGAGATTCGGGCATAATTACTTGAGCAACCTAGATTAAGATTGATGAGCCTTTAAAGTGGCGCTCCAGACCGACCGCCTCGCCCCTTGGAGGAAGGGAAAAAAAAAATTCCCGCAGGCCGATGAGGACCCAACTCCGCTGCCGCACCCGGAGCTGGGGCCGTCTTGCTGATCTGCTAAGGCAGTCAGACCGCTGAAGGCGACCCCACTTAGTCTGCTGCAGGCCAGACTCCATAAGCCCTACCAAAGCCGGCCTAGGCCTCAGGGTCTCCCCTCAGAAATAGCTGGGCTCCGCCGGACCGCTGGCTCCGCGAGCTTTCCCGGCTCAGCCGGGGCCTGCCTGCGTGGTGCGGGTGCGCGCAAGACTCCCCCTGATCCCGGTCTCCTGCTGTGTACCGCAAAGGGCGGGCATTATTGCCTAGGTTCTGTTGCTGGCTCCCTAGAACCTAAAAGGCATCAACAAAGCCCACGTTAATTCTAAATTTCTTGTCCTATGTTTAGACCAATATGGAGAAGAGGGATTTCAAGTAAACCCCCCCTTGAATCAGTATTATAATTGAGGAAATTCGAAGTGAGCACTCCACTCGGGTGCGCACACTTTCCAAAAATCTATTGAATCCTAATTTCTCTGGATTCAAAAGCTGAGAAATTGCGCTTTCCACTCCCTTTTCCAAGAATGGTTTTGTTTCAGCGTTCTTCTCACATTTTCATCTTTGGTGTGCTCTGGTAAGAAAATGACGGCCAAGATTTTCGTTATTTTCTTCAGAAGAACCCCGGTAGCTTTATATTCCCACCTTAGGACGCCAAAATTAAAACAATCCTTCCATAAAATGCTAGCCCTTGGGATTTGTATACTTAGCCGCTTTCCCCTTTCGCCTCTATCACCTCTCCTTGGAGTAGAGACGCTGCCAAAAGGATTGACTTATGAGATGGTTGGTCTTCGGAAGCATTAGGAGAGCAAGTGATGTTCTTTGGAGAACGGGGCACCAAGGATGCATCCGTTCTGCTCTGCATTTGTAAGTCGAATTAAGGCAGTGCCTCACCAACCATGTATATTTCTAGGCAGAGGTTGGAAACTGGCATGTTATGGGTCTCTTATTCAACACCCTGAACTCTTGAGTTTTTATAAAATTACTCTAGTCTCGTTTTAAGGTACCGTATAAATGCTAAACAGACCTTACCTAACATGAAAAGACCTTGCATAGCATAGGCACCATTTTTCCTAGTATATCTTTAAAAACAAGACCAGGCCATACTCTCTGGAAGGGACTTTGGGAGCACCAGAGAGGCCCAGCCTGACTCACTGCCCCTGTCTTGCAGGCCCTGTAGTTCTCAGCACCCCTGCCCAGCTCATCGCTCCCGTGGTGGTGGCCAAGGGAACTCTCTCCATCACCACGACAGAAATCTACTTTGAGGTAGACGAAGATGATGCTGCCTTCAAGAAGATCGACACAAAAGTGAGTTCGAGTGGCTGCAGCGCATTGGTGGCTTGGATGGCAGAATGTGGTTTTCAGTTTTGCTTGGTTTTAAATGACTGGAGAGGTATACATATTCTCATCTTTCTTATAGAAAATAAAATGAATGAAATAACACATGATCTATTTCAGAATTGAAGACTGGATTAATGAGCTTAAATCCTAAACTTAAGTAACAGAGCATGTGCATTTGAGCAGTCTTCCTATGTGCCTTTGTGTGTACTTAGGCAGATTTGGTGTTTAAGCCAGTTGTTCTCAGATCACTCTGGGGCACAGTGTCTCAGTTCCTGGGAACACTAGGACAGATCTTGTGAAATTTTGTGTTAACATCACATTTAATTTCCAAAAGTATATATTGCAATATGAATTATTATGTATTGAAAGGTTATAAGGAAACTGGGGCAGGGGCCATTTGCATATAATTTCATTTCCATTATTACATCCATTTTTCATCTCCTGAATTAAATGGATTTTACATATGGATTTAAAAGGCAGAAAAGCAGGTTCTTTATAAGCTTTGATTTAAATGTACACACACAGCATACTCTAGTACTCACATTCCATTCCAGAAGGTGCACATTTGGAGCTTTGGAATGGCATACATGTTGGCTAAATCTTATCTTGTGGGTTTTAGCTCCCCTGACCATCAGAGAAAGCCTACAGCACAGCACCCTTCTGAGATGCATTTCACTAGTTTCTTATTTATGTCACTATAAGATTTGTAGATTTCTTCTGAGGGTAAGAGGTTGAGATAATGGGGTGTTCTACTGTCATTTTGAAAAGATCTTTAAGTCACTTCAAAAGCTGTTCTAAAATAGTCAGACTTGAGCCTTATTGTTTATATTTAAGTTTTATGCAGAAATGGAACAGTATAGAACATTATTTATAAATGAGCAAAGGAAATTCTGAAGTTTATTGCCACCCGAATGAACTAATGCAGAGCCTTAGTGTCAGGCCTCTCAGCACTTGTTGATCAGGGAGAAATAACCAAAGCCACGGTGTAAGGAGGGAGTGTGCAGTGCTTAAACAGGGAAGAACTTGTTTTGATGGTTTGCCATTAGCTTTCCTGTGCAGTAAGAATGAATTGTGGTTTTCTGATCAGTTTCTTCCAATAACCCTTGTCGTGTTAAAATAGGGTGATAAAGTATATTGCTTAAAAGATACGTTCATTGTATTGTTTAGATTTCATACATAAACTTTAAAGTTTTTATTATGACTTTAAGTTAATTTTCTCAGAATTTGCTGCTTTTAAACTCAGTAATCTCTATTGCCATGATAGGTTTTCCCCTTATATTGTCAAAAAGCTACAGAAATACTAACCAGAAGCAAGGTCTCAAAAGTAGATTATAAATGTGTCAGTTGTAGAAACGAACCATCTAGTAAATTAGAAACTGAGGAAATGGATATTTTCTATAGCTATTCAAAAAAGAGCCCCTTTAATGTGTATTTTTAGTGATTTTATTAGCCTGTTAGTCAAAATGTTTAAAATACTAGTTGATTTTAAAAAGGAAGCATTAGCTCTTCTGACAGAAAACAATTTAAAAATGAGACACAACAATTGGGTATTTTACTTCATTTATTATCTTCTAATTAAATAAAATCAGCAACAGAAATTAAAATCTAAATCACAAAAGTAATTATCCAGTGTATTTCAAGTGCATTTTCAAATATATATAATTCAGATATTCAAGCGTTATTATATAAGCTGAATTCAAATTTCTTTGAATATATTTAAATAACATTTCAAGTATACTTACGGAATGTTAGAACAAGCAATATATTTGAAACAAAATGTAAACTTTTTTTTTAAGTTCAGACACTTCACAGACAGGTTAAGTAACAGGAGGAAATCTACCTTTAAATGCATCTCTGTTCATGGAAAGTGTCTGGAAGTTTCCAAATGGCAATTTCAGTTCTGTTCACCAAATCACAAAACACCAACATCCACACTTTCAAAGACAACATGAGATCACAATTTTTTGTTACAAATCAAAATATACATTACTCGCTCCTTCCGTTCCTTCCGATGGCACATCCAGGTCGTGTTTACTGGAAGGCAGATGCGCCTAAGTCTCAAGATTGCTATAATCCTTTGATGGAGTTGGCCACGGTCTTGCATTGTTGCCCTGCTGTTTTCGGGTTTTGTGTACTTACTTTTCAGGGGAGATGGGAGATGCCTGCTTAAAGATACTTGTGGGTGTAGGTTTCCCCCTGTGTTTCCCTACTCCATTCCCTCCTCTTAGGGGTGTGTGAGATGATGCATGAATGTTGTGCTGTTACTCCTTCTGAAGGAAGAGACTGTTTGCACTGTCTCAGGAAATACTAAATAGGAATCAACCAGGAAGTTTTCATTTCGTCGGGACTTTGAGAAGAGTGATCTTGTCGGCCCTGGATTAGATCATCCTCTAGAGTTTTTCCAAACTTTTGGGGTTGGTCAGGATCTCTCTTGCCAGTCGCCACGTTTGTTTAGCAGCGTTTTCCAGAGCCGAGTGCGGTTTGCCTTGAAACAGATCTAAGTTCGGTAAGAAGTAGTGGGGACACCGCCGACACTGCAGGCATGAGATGAGCTGCAGCAGAATTCCGTTCAGCCGGTCGCCCAGGCAAGATTCGTCCCAGTCCGACTCCCGGGGATGCTTCTCACACTCGTAAGACACCAGAGTCTTCATGTGGTAGTTGTTGAGGGGCTGGCCTGGCAACTCCAGGTGGCGGTCGCGGAGGGTTTTCAGGATAGAGAGACATTTCTTCCTGCAGCCCCCCATTTGCAGTCTGTTCTCAGCCTCTGCAAACTGCAGCACCCAAGCGTCGCTCTCCGCGGAGCTCTGCTTGCCGGCCAGGGAGTGGCACTCCTTGGACAACAGATTGAACCCCTCGGCCTTGACCTCTGCCACGCGGTTGGGTCCTGGCCAGGGGATGTGGGGAAGCGGCCAGTGGGCAGCACTCCGCGGCCAGATCCCGGTGCATTTAAAGGCCGGGGTGATCTGCACCACGTACCTATCGCGGATTCTCAGTTTCACTTCGCTCGTGTCAGCCACCATCTTTACTACATCCCTGTAGCTACACTTGTCCACCGCCTGAGCCACCAGCGTCTGAAACCTGGAGCGGATTTTGCGTGCCGAGAGGTAGCCAGAGGCGGTGATGAATTCCACCCAGAGGGACATGCTCCTCTTGCGCCCGTCGCTCAGCTTCAGCACCGCGCAGCCAGGCAGTGAGCCGTCGTCCACGAAGTTAAACACCCCCATCTGGTTCAGATAGAGTACCACCTCGAACTCGGTGGGAGAGATGACCTCCAGGCCCTCATAGCGGTTGTCCATCTCGTTGAGGGAGCTGATGAAGCGCGGTTCCTGCACCTCCACCTCCTTCAGGACGTCGGAGACCACTTTGCAGACTTCCCGGATGGTTTTGGCGATGGCAGCTTTCCTGGCCTGGCATTTCTCGTTGTAGTACTTATTCAGGTGGTAGACCAGCTTGGCCTGGGCCGCGATCATGTTGGGGCAGAGATCCGGATTGTACACCGGAGTCTCACAATAAGCTGTGGGATCCAATGCGGCTGCTAGCGCTGGAGCCAACTTCGGTGGTGAAAGGGGGCCACGCGCAAAAGGCACCGAGCCTCTCTCTCGGACAGGCTGCAGTGGGGGCCGCCCTGCCCTGCCGGCCTTTTATCCGCGAGCCTAGCCGGTCTTAAAGTGAAAGGCTGCACTCTCCCCCTCTCTCCTCCGTTAAAGAATCCGTGTCTGAGAGAGACGCTTGGAGAGAGCACCTTCTCAATAAAAACAAAAGTTGCGCTGAATCCCAGCAAAGCTCTTCCAGTAGTCAAAATAGTCACCCCTTTCCGTATTTATTTACGTTTTCCCGTAATCATTGTGTGTGCAGGACTGTTAATCAGACGGAGGAAAAAATGTGCCGAGTGTGTGTCCGGGTGAGTGTGTGTCTGTCAGAAGAAGCTGCTGTTGGTTTGTGTAAAAGCCCAGATGCACTCGTGTGGAAATTATAAAGGCAGGGCCAGGCAGGCGGGCGGCCAATCGCCACTGGGCTCGTCACGACAGCCTCCCCCAGCTTCAGCCCGGCTAATTAATCCCCCCTCGTGGATAGAGGCACAGAAACCAAAGGTAGGAAGCTGCTGCCGGCAGAAAACCATCCAGGCCACCTAGACAGGTTGGAAAGCAAGAGGAAATCTGGCTTTGGTATAACTTGAAGCATATTTACACTTGGAAAAGACTTGGCTAAGAGAAGTGGCTCTCTGTGCTGTAAAGCCTGCTTGTCTGTTCACCTCCGATGAGCTATCCAGGTGGGCGAATGGTCATCCTCCAATTAGTGAAGTCAACGGGGCTTTCTAGAAGAAAGTCACTAACTTGCATTTAGAGTAAGGTAATTAATACCCGTTAATCCTTGGGGTCTTCTGAATGCAAGTTAGAAGTTTGCTTCTTAACAGACTGATGGCTTCAGACGGAGAAGTCCTCCAGTTTTTCTCCATGTTGGGTGTTCCCAATCAGAACACTTTTCCAAACCTTAGGCAGAACCTGTTCTCTTTTTACCTAGGTTTCCCCCTTTTCATTCGCTGAGAGGAATCTGAAAATTACTGCAGAGTGCGGTAGATATTATCTACCCAGTTAAAAGAGGGGTGATTAGAACAAGTTCACCTGTCTGCAGTTCCCTGTGTCTGTAGGTAGGCTGGCCAGTGCTAAAATAACAAACAGCAGTGAGGGCTGTATGCTCTTTCGGGAGTACTTCCCACAAGATCTCTGGGATTTAGATGGGCTGTATTGGACAGAAGGCCCTAGAAGATTCACAGAAGTGGGCTTTACACTGAGAACTTGAAGGTGTGGCGTTCAGCCTTGGCTGCTCCTGCAGGCTTAAAGACAGATCTCCCATTTCAGGTATCCTTAGTGGTGGCCAACAGTAGGTTCCTAATCTTATGGGATTTCATAATTTGCTTATGGGAAGATGGCCAACGTCTTCAAAAATTAATTTGTAACCATTCAGGTTTGGGTTTGTCTGTTTGTTTGTTTTAATTTGTTTCATTCTGGAAATTTTCAAAGACATGAACCTTTCTAAATTTTGGAACCCTAAGGAGGTGTTTTAGGGAGCTCCTCCTCCTTCCCAGACCATCACCAGATGAGCCCTCAGTGCACATGAACTAAAGAATGAGTGGCTAGGGCTTGCGTAGTTTTCAGTTGCCTGCCTTTAGTGCGGAGGTCTGTTTGTTTCCTATTAAGAGAATTTCCAGTGTAAGGCTACAGGAGCACCTGTGTAAGCACTTTTAATGGACTCCTGTTGAGGACTCCCAACTTTTAAGCATCACGGGGCCACCTCTAATGTAGTTTCTTGTTACCCAAGAGTGATAGATTCCGATTTAGATTAAATTAGTGCGTAACATTTGGGGCTTACGATGGCCGTCTATTCCATTCCCCCAAGACATTGTGTTCCCTCGGGAGGGTGGACTAGGGACTCTCAAAACCCCTCCCCAGTTTGCAGGCGTCGCGGGTGAACGCACTGCTACCTTTTGGCAGCTCTGAAGAGGCGGTGGAGGAGGCAACCCAGAGCGCCAGACCAACAAGAAAGAACTGTGCTGCAAGGAGCGGCTGCTGGGGACGCGCGGGTCATCAGGGTGGGGTGCGGCAGACAACCTCTCCCCGCGGCCTTTGCGCCTTCCCCAGCTCTCTTCCTTGGTTCATCTGTTCTCAGGCTAACTGTAAAGCTGTCTGGGTGTCTGGGTGTCCCCACTCTCCTCCAGTGCTGCAAACCACACTCGGTGTCCTTGTACCACTCTGCTCTCGCCGCCTCCCCGCCCTCGAGTGGCTCGGTCCTAGTGTGACCTGTTCTCGGGCTTCATTGCAACCCAGGGATACTTGGCCCTGACCTTCCTGGGAGATCGCGCGCCGGATGCCTCACCCCGCCTATGGGGCTCGAGGTAGCTCCAATGCCGAGGCCCTAGTAGTTCCCTATGTCCGACAGTGGGATTCAAGATACCATGGCCGCCGACTGCAGCCTGGCGCAGGTGGCGCATCTTTCTGGGCTCGCTGTGCGGCTTAATTGGGTTAAAGCGAAGCTAAACACCGAAGCACTTTGTGCAAACTAATTGATGCAACCGAGGCCCTTCCCTAACGATTTTTCACTTGAAAAGCAAGAGAACCACGAAAGTCGTTACTCCTAGAGTGTTGCAGGGTAGTGAGGCCTCGGGTTTCTGGAAGGCCAGGCCCGCCGGGCGTCCTGAAGCACCCACCACGCCCGGTGCTGACAGTGATTTACATAAAACTGGACTCTCGGCGGCTATTGTCGCCGTAGGTTGACCCGGCGGCTTAGAATAACACTAGCTTGTCTTTCTAGCTGCCGCTACCCGGATCGTCTGCTACCCTGAGCCCGGGAAATGAACTGCGCCTGTAGCTGAATCCTTTCCGCAATCTCAATACTCCTCGTTGTAGAAAGAAAGCTAAACAGCACTGATGGCTGCTTCTTTCCCTCCATGCTTTCTTTAATTGAATTGCCCGTGGAGAGGAATTAAAATTAACGATGTATTTTTGTGTAATTCACCTGATTTTAATCGAGGTTTTGGCATTCGATATATTTTGTACTGGTAAATTATTAACTCCTTGATAGTAATTTTAATTTAAAAAATCATTCGACCTATTGGATTGTTTGAACTGGTGATGTTATACAGAAGTGATATAAAATCTGTTTTATTATGTGAAAAGTCTGTATAAGAACTGGATTGATGCCAGTCGATTTTTTAAATACAGTGTTACGGAGTATCAGAAGAAAAGCTGTGTGTGTCTCGTGTTTTAAGACATAAATGGTGAATTGTTTTCAGTGCTATGCATGTAGGCATCCTTGACATGAGCTAATAATAGAACGATAATTGAAGAAAAGTGACCTAATTGGAGGGAAAAGAAATACCCAAGAATCTCATGATGTGACCACTGAGATGCCTGCATTGGAATGGTGTTTAGGGTTTAACTAAGGCAGCCTGGATTTAAAATATTCCAGTTAGGGAAAACAAATCTAGCTAAGACACAAGCCTGTTATCATAACATCTAGCCATATTTGTGAAGGTAAAACCAATGTTGTGAACTTAAGCACTCGGAACAGGGCTAATAGTAAGGACAAGACAACTGTTTCTGAAGTGTGCTTCCTGAGTGACTGTCCCGGTGGGGGTGCACTTCCATCGCCTGTGAAAAGCCATGCATGCAGCCTCCTACAAGGAGGTCAAGAAAAACTGCATTGTGTTCAGAAGTGTAGGAGCCTAGGGTTTCTAGGGCGGTTGTTGTTGTTTTCTTTTGTGTTTAAATGACTATTTAAACTCAAATTTCAAGTTCACTGACTTCACCAGTGGCAGCCTTCTGGAAGCTCATAAGGAATGTGAGTGAGCAGTTACGGTGCTCACTTACACACGGTCCTCCGTATTTTCATTATCTGCCAGCAGCTAGTTTATTCACAACTGTTCATGAACTTAAAGTTTATTTTTTAATATGTGCTTATTACTCTGGAGACTTTAAAAGAATATGAAGTTGTTTCTATTAAATTATTTATCTCTACTGCTGGAGTGGCTTTGAAGGCTCATCATGTGCATCTGATTTCTTCCCTTCTCTCTTTTCTAAAAATGGACCCAGGCTACTTTAACTGTTTCTTTCTTCCAGACACAATATATTCCCCCCTTTACACTAGAGAAATTAAAGACAGATATTTGTGCAGGGTTTTCTTTATGTGTCAGATTAAATAACCTGAAATGGGGAGGGGTTCTAGTAATTTGATGGCATTTATATCTTTCTTCCTATTGTGACTTCTGGTATAAAAGCACTTAAACAAAATAGCTTGAAAGTTTCAGGGATTTCTTAAAGTTATTATTTTGTTTTTGAAAGTCAGGTTCATTACAAAGTCAGGCAGGAGATTAAGGTCAGTGTTTGCATGACATAGACCTGTTCTGTTTCTTCAATCTGAGCACCCTGGCTTGAATGATGGAGTCCATTGCCTCAGTGTTCTTTGTTACCCTGGTGCACAGTTCTATAGTCACATTTGTAGTGGCAAATACTTTTTTATACACTATTCCTTAGTGTTGCCATTAGTAAGAGTTGAAAAGAAAAGTAACTTAGAGATTAAAGATGCTAGTTGGAAGTAGAGGTCTAAGGATCACCACCCCTGCTTGATTGACAGCCAGACTTTTCCTTTTATAGATAAGGGAGTTAAAAGTTCAGCTTGTATATGTAATCCTCTCAGTTTCCTCTCTTCATTTGAATATGTGCGTAGAGGTGCAGGATATTTCAAGTTGCTTTTGTAAGTTGGGGCAGAGCTGGGGAAGAAAAAAAGAGATTGAGGGAAAACTTACCAATGAAAACAGTTTTTTTTCTGTCCATAATGAATTATGTCTCTGATTTCTTCCAATTGTCTTTGGACAATGGGATTTACATTCACTTGAGTTTTGTGGAATGATGATCTCTCTGTCCTTCCTCAGAACCCTTGGTAACATCCCCAGGTTCATTATGACAAAACTAAAATTGTTTTTGTTAAATCTCAGCCTGAATTCTTCATTCAGATATCACAGAAATAAGTAGACAGGATAAATGGACTCATCACTTCATTTTTTTTCCCTATGAACAAATGAAAACAAGGACCCCCTCCCACACACACAACAAACAACAAACCTGAATTTACAGGATTTTGTATATGTGACTGCAGCCCCAGTGCTCTGAGTAGGCTGCGTTTTTATTACACTTGGAGAAACAGTGGAACCAGGTGTGATCAGCTTGTTAATCTAGACCGCACTGCTGTTATTATCACTTCATATACTGTGATGATTAAACCACTGAAAATATTCAGCATGACCTTGAGACTGTAATATGGTTTCTACCTAATCAACTTCCAAATGAGGGCTTATCAAAAATAATCTCTCCCTTTTGTTATTTAGTGTTTGGAGCTTTTTTTTTTTTTTTAGTGAACAAAGCATTCCTATAAATTGGGCTTTATTGTAATTTTCAGTAATTATTAACTAAAGTGCTAATTTAAAGTAATTATATCACAGAAAATGATCACCTCTTACAACATTTATGTAGTGACAAATATTTTATAGAAAAGGGGACATTATTATACAAATAGGAATTGTCTTGTACATACAGGTATAGATGGTAAATGTTTGCAAACAGACTCCCTATATAATATTTTGTTTTCCCTTCTGGCTATACTCACTATACTAAGTATGTAAATTTTAGTTTACCAGTGTGTACTATTTCCTAAAAGCACAATTTTTTGTATAGTGGTGTGTTAAAAATATCAAGTGAAAAGTAGAATTGATAAACAGTACTTTTAAATCTTTATAACCTTTTTTATTTTATCTGAATAAAAAATTAAAATCAAGAGCATAATTTAAAAGTATTTATTAAATAAAAATTGAGGATCCTGTTAAGTAAAAACACTAGCTTTACTTTGGTATGAAATCTGCTTCATAAAGTTGGGTGTAGGGCTGAAGAGATGACTCAGCAGCTAAGGGCAGTCAATGACTACTCTTCTAAAAGACCTAGGTTCAATTCCCAGTGCCCACGTGGTGACTCAAAACCACTCACACACATAAAATAAAATAAAAATAACTTTAAAAAATACAGTTGGGTATATTGAACTATAATTTGCAAATAGTACTATTCCAATCTGTGAAGTTTTCATATGAATGTACCATCCTGTGAACTCTCAAATGAATTAGCAATATTTGAGGCATATTTGTTATTTAACATCTTTATGGCAAAAGAAAGAAATCTCCCCAACTGTCAGTATTTGTATTTTACTTTGAAGTTGCTTTAATCTTTCTTTTACATGATCTAAGGTGAGACTATGAAGTAATTGCAGCTAATACTAAATAATGCATGCACATTCTTGCATCACATTGCTCAGAACCAAGTTTCGTATAAATGCACACTGTTACTTAAATTTAGATGGTCAAGAACACCAAACAAAGAATTAGTAAAATGTCCACATAGGGACATTTTTGTTAATGCTGCTGCTCTCCCAGATAGCTCTAGTGGAACTTGTAACTAGTCTTTAATCCCCCCAAGATACACAAATTATTTAAAAGCTTTCTGTTTTATATTTTTATTTGCAATTAAAAAAGAAATTTTAATGTTACACAAGCTTATTAAATAACATTATTATTTAATGTTACAGGCCTATTAAGAAAAAAGTTATTGCTTTCTTAACAATCTTAAACCATTTTTAGCACACATTCTTTTCAGTGTTTATAAAATAGCCTGCACATGCACACATTCATACACGAACGCACACACACAACCATAGTATTTCGGATAGTAAAAGATTGAATTGGCTTTTTGTGTTTTTACATGAATCTGCCAAAAGGAAACAGGGACTAAATATAGACTTTATTTTCAGGAACATTCCATAATGTTTGTTGTTTTGTTTTTTTTTTAAGATTTATTTTTATTTATGTGAATGTATGTGTGTGTGTGTGTTGTGTGTGTGAGAGAGAGAGACAGAGAGACAGAGAGAATGTATGCCGTGTGTGTAGGTGCCTGTGAAGTAGTCCAGAAGACAATATCAGATGCCCCGGAACTGGATTACAGGCAATTGTGAGGTGCCTGATGTGGGTGCTGGGAACCGAACTAAGGGTTTCTACAGGAGCCGCAAGCACTCATCCTTAAAACTTTCTCTTCAGCCCCCATGGACCAGTTCTTACCAGTTTTCAGTAATACTTTCATAGATTGCTGGCAAATGGATTTAAAAACTACTAAATAGAAATTCAACAATTTCTGTCTAGTCACATGCATATCAGTGCTGTACACTTTTTGTTATAAGATCAAGAAGCTTAAATGTCAGTAGCTATTCTGTTCATGAAAAACCTATACTTCTCAGACATTCACCTATATTGATAACTACCCATGCACATAAAAATGTCTTTACGAATTTTAAAGCATTTCCGACTTTTGTGACAGACTAAGGTTACTTTTTTGTAACCTTCACCTGTATTTGATAAGCAGAATGCATAATTCATTGGGGGTGGGTGGGTGTGGGTTTGTTTCTTGGTTGGGGCTTCCTAGTAGGCAGCCCAGTTCTTCATTTGTTTTTCTCTCCACGCTGCATTAGCACGTTTTCCCCTGTGTGCATCTGCCAGCACACAATTTAGCCACGGGCATCTGTAGACCTTGTGGTGATCAGTATTGCAGGCAAAAGCCATATGTGTTTAAATAAAAAAATAATCTCTTTATTTCATTTGCTGTTTTAACTGGATGGATAACTTTTGTGCCTCAAGACAGAAGAAGAAAAAATACAGAAATAATTAATTGCCTCTATTCTTAAGGCAGTTTCATTTCCCCCTCCAATATGGAATGCTTGTCAGCTCTCCTGATAAATGACTGCATGTATTTGCATAGATTTTACATTAACACAAAAATTAGTTTTATTTGTGAAAAACTAGTTTACATAATAATATAAAGTCAGTGTTATTGATTACATTTTTAAGCATGATGACTGTAGAGAGACTGTATGTAACATTCTAACTTTTCAGAGATCTGGTCAACTTGTTCCTTAATTTAAACTTTCTCTTTAATTATTTATATTGCTTTGTATTAACTAGATATAAAAGTGTAGTTATAAAATTTCCAGTTTTAACAAGCATCTTTAAAAGGTATTAACCACAGCCATTTCAGACACATAGCACATAGTAGCAATCATTTGGATAAAAGATTACTTTAAACTTTACCAGGGAATTTTTTGAAAATATTCATTATGAACTGCATACATTTCAAAATATTGGAGGAGCATGTCATGGAACTGGTCTAATTTTGATAATCATGTTATCCCAAGAGGACACACCATATTGGATATATGTAGTTGAACTCTTTCCTGGGAAGTAATTTCTAATGTATCTAAGAACCATCCTCTC